TCTCAAGGAAGAGCGCTGCGGCGGGGATGTCGGACGACGAGATCGGCGTCGCCACCATTGCTGCCGCCGCGCCATGCCGGCGGGCCGGGCTCGCGACGGGAGGAGAGCGAGCCGCCGTCCACGACGGCGTGGCAACGGCGGGACTCCGCGCCGCCGACCAGGCGAGCGGTATGAGGGGCAATAGCATCATTCTCGAGCCGACAGCACCTCACGTTCCCGATCATCTGGCTCGCCGAAAAAAAATTAACCCTAAAAGAAAGGGACCGATTGCGGAGAAGGAACACCACCACAGGCAAGGCAAACCACCGGGAGGACGATGCTGCTGTTCTCGTGCGCCGTGTCCAGCGCACAGGCACCTGCGAGCGTGCCGCCCAACGACTGGGCTCACACCGTCAAGCTCAACAATGGCGTCGCCATGCCGCTCATCTCGCTCGGCACCTGGCAGTACTCGCCGGCGGTCGCCGAGTCGACGGTGCGGCTAGGCCTCTCGCTCGGATACAACCACATCGACGCCGCCCTCGACTACAAGAATCAGCGATCGGTCGGCAAGGCGCTGGCCGAGCACGACCGCGCCTCCTACTTCTTGACGACCAAGGTTCCCTCGCGCACCTCTGCAAGCTCTGCGTTTGCCGACACCTCCAAGGATCTGGCCGCCGACCTCGAGCAGCTCGGCCTAAGCTACGTAGACCTCATGCTGGTCCACTTCCCGCCCGTCGGCAACACGCTCCACTGCGCGGCGATGCAGGAGCAGTGGCGCGCGCTCGAGACGTTCTACCGCGCCAAGAAGGCGCCGCGCCACAGACGCCGCATCTCTCTTCACACCGACGCTCTCACGGCAGACTGTCCCGTGGAGGGTGCTGTCCCGTGGAGGGTTCACGGGGCCGACTGCAGTGTACAGCAGGGCCTCTCCACCGGACATCTCGAGTGCACTACGGCCGCATCTCGGCCGCATCTGGTCACGCATCTCGGCCGCATCTCGGCCGCATCTCGGCCAGCAGCGCCGGCCTAATCACTGCCAATGCGCAACAGAATCCGTCACCATTGAATGCGGAGACAGGCGCGCGCCATCGGCGTGAGCAACTACTGCCAGTCATCGCTCAGATGCATCGCCCGTGCTGCCAACGTCACTCCCGCCGTCAACCAGATCAAGTACCACATCGGCGTGGGCCTGGCCTGGTCGGCCTGCAGCCGACGCCGATGCGTCTTTGTCACTCTTCAGCATTCCTCTCAGGCATGGGCCCATCAATCGTTCACCACTCCTCTCATTATCAATGCTTATAACTCGTTCACCACTCCTCTCATTATCAATGCTTATAACTCGCTCACACACTCCTCTCTCAGGCATGGGGCCCGACCCGATCGGGCTGCGCAGCTACGGCGACAGGCTCGGCATCGTCACGCAGGCCTTCTCGGAGATTACCCGAGATTACCCGAGATTACCCGAGATTACCTAGCATGAGCGATTAGTTAGGCCTACTCACCGCTCGGAGATTACCCGAGACTACCCGAGATTACCTATCATGAGCGATGAGTTAGGCCTACTCGCCGCTCGGAGACGGGACAGGCGAGCTCATCAGCCGGGCAATCTCGGGCAATCTCGGGCAATCTCGGGTGATATCGGGTCATCTCGGGTCATCTCGGGTGATCTCGGGCAATCTCGGGTGATCTCGGGTGATCTCGGGCAATCTCGGGTGATATCGGGTCATCTCGGGTCATCTCGGGTGATCTCGGGTGATCTCGAGTGATCTCGGGCAATCTCGAGTGATCTCGGGTGATCTCGGGTGATCTCGGGACAGGCGAGCTCATCAGCGGCCCGCTCGTGACGGGGATCGGCGCAAAGCACAACAAGAGCGGCGCCCAGGTGACTCACCCGAGATTGCCCGAGATTACCTGAGATTGCCCGAGGTTACCGAGAGCGGCGCCCGAGTGACTCACCCTCGCACACCGGGCCTTGCACCTTTAATTCCGCGGGGCTCCTGTCGTCTAGACGTGGGGTCGCGCGGGCTGCCCTGGCCCTCGCCCCACCACCTCGTGGAGAAGTTTCCCTGACATTTCCTCACCTGCCACAGGTAAGCTTGCGGTGGGTGGTCGGCCATGGCGTGCCGGTCTCGACCAAGTCGACGAGCGCCAGCCTAGAAGCAGAAGACGTGCCGCAAGGTATTCATGTACCCCAGCCAGCACTCGAGAGACACGTCAACCCGCTGTCGTCCGCTGTCTTCCGCTGTCTTCACTGGATTCCTCTCCGCTGTATTCATGCGTTACTCTCAGTACGCTGCACAGTACCGTCTTCCCGCCCTGATGTCGGTGTATTCCGCAGCGCGTAGGAGCGCCAGGCACCTCACGGCCAACCTCGACCTCTTCGGCTGGGAGGTGAGCGCGCAAGAGAAGGAGGCGCTCGATGCGGCCACCTCGCCCAAGGGGCACCCTTCCTTCATGTGCGACGCGTGACGGCGGGCCGCCGGACGGTGTGAGTTGGGTGCTGCCCCCCCTCCCCCCCCACTAGGAGTAGGGTGTACCTATTGTCCACTGTGCGCGAGAGTTGTGTGGTGGGTTGTATGTGCGGAGGGCCGGAAGCTGACACACAGCGTGGTGTGTGCGTGTGCGGAGGAGGTGACGAGCGCTGCCTTGGCTGCATCCGCGGCCATCCTGGGAGCTGGGTGCTGGGAGTGCGTCCCTCCTCTCAGTCTCGCCACGTTGCGGACAGACCGTGATCGAGCGGTGTATCCTGAGAGACACCCAAGCAGGCAAGCTCAATCACAAAAAAACACAAGGCAAGCTCACATTCACAATCTGCTCTGCGATGGCCCTTGAAAAATCCGTCGTGTCGGCTGCGTTGGACGTTGGTGTCCAGTCCGGGAGCCTGGGAGGTGGGCACTGCTGTTCTTCACCTTCCTATGTACAACAGTACAAGTCGTGTCCGAAACGAGAGTGGGCCTGAGCAAGGACATGCCTTGGCGGTAAATGATCGGAGTGGGTGTCAGGAGAGTCGTCCTTGCGCGAGGGGAGCTCGATAAACTTGAGGTGGGCCAAAATACGCCGCGAGGAGGGCGGAGTTGCGCCGAAAGGCGAGAGAAGCCGCGAGAGCAAGGGATCGGCAGGCAGCGTCGTCGCTAGCGGCGTCGTCGCAGAACGAGGCAGAGGAGAGCAACGAGACAGAGAGGAGGCGACAGGAGAAAGAACGACGAGAGTGGGAAATGGCAGCGATCCCTTCGATCGGCTCATTGTAGGCGCTGCGTGTGGGCTTGAAGGCTGCATCCGTGCTCCGTGCGGATCCAGAGGTGAATGAACAGTGCGGCATCGTGAGGTCGCACAATGTTCTTGCGAATCGACGCAGCAGATTGCTGGATGATGTCGAGCGACGGCCGGAGGTCGGCGATGCCTGGCCCCGACTGCCAGCCAGTCATGCGGCCATGCAGAGGCGGGCTTCGAGCTGCTCAATCGGCACCCGCACGTGTAGATGTCACTGGCACGAGGAGGGTAACGGGCCTTTGCTCATGGCCACAGAGGAATGTCCCGCGACACTTTCGTACATACAAACAGCGTCATTCAGGCAGCCAAACAACACTCCCAGCGTACACGGGGCAAAGCTGTCTTGCCTGACGAGGCTGACTTGGCATTCAGCCTCTTGGCGAATGGCACCGTCTACCGATGGCAACGCATTCATCTGCCGCGTGCGTGCCCGGCGAGCCATTTTGAAAGATGGATGTGGTCGTGTTCGTCATCCGGAGAGACAGCCCTGCCCATCACGGAGCAGGAGCAGCATTTGCCACGGATTTATACGTGTGTTGGGCGACGGGCTCAGATGTTGGCGGTGGTACGTCCCCCGACAGGGTAGTCACTACAATAATGGCGGCCGCGGAGAGCGACCAGGATCCGCTGCGGCGGCTCTCCTCACGCGGTGTGAGCTCTCGCTCCGCCTGCCGCGTGGCTGCGTTGCTTGCCGCCGCGCTGCTCGCCTCCTCCTTTGCGTACGCGCTGCTTATGCCGGTCAGGTACATGCCGCTGGGCGGTCCGCACCGGATGCTGGCGACAGTGTCAGTGACAGACGCAATGGACGTGCTCTATCTCGCGTATGCAGCCTTCTGTCCACAGGATGACCTGCGTGCGTGGCGCTGCGAGTGGTGCTCTGGCCCAAACAAACACAGGTACTGGCTGGGAGCGTGCGTGGGGCCGCGGAAATCAGCCATAACATGTTCAACGCGTGCCAGCAGGCTGCAGCTGTCGGCGTTCTTGCGCGACACGGACGCGGAGACTCAGGGCTACGTTGCGATCGACCGCGTCGACTCGCGCATCGTGGTGGCGTATCGCGGCACAACGACAATGCACAACTGGTCCTCGGCTTTAGGATGAATCGGCGACTACAAACACATGCTCACACCGTCTCGTGCCAAGAATAGGTTCCTCGACTTCCAGTTCCCGCTCGTCGTGCCGCCCTTTGGCCCGCCGGGCATCCACGTCGAGCAGGGGTTCCTCAAAGCCTACATGTCGCTCCGCCGCGAGACGCTGTCGGCCATCAAGTCTGCGAGGGCGAGCTGCGGTGACGGCTGCGAAATTCTTTTCACGGGCCACTCGCTCGGCGGCGCGATTGCCACCCTGGCGGCGGCCGACGTGGCCGAGGAGGCGTGGTCTGGACGGGTCCAGCTGTACACTTTTGCGAGCCCACGCGTCGGTGATGCGGCCTGGGCCGGGTGGGCGAGCGGGGTCCTGCAAGCTAGCAGCGGTACGCCGCCCTGGCGGATGCGCCGCCAGCTCGACATGGTCCCGGCGCTGCCGCCACAGTCGATGGGCTACGCGCACGTGGGGACCGAGATCTGGAACAAGTTTGCCGAGGGCGAGCCAGACGCATACGTCATCTGCGACGGCTCCGGGGAGGACCCCAGCTGCGGCGACTCGGAGGAGACGCCCGCCTTTCCGCTCTACCTCGTCAACCTGCGGCCGTCGCAGCACGTAATGTACATGGGCGTCAAGGGCGGGAGATGCTCGGCAGTCAAGTGAGGCCTGTCGCGAGGAAGAAGGAGGTCATCACAAGCAGAAGAGGAGAAGAAAACAGCACGCGTGAGGGATGGGAGAACGGAACAGGCCACCAGCATGCATGTGTGTCCGCGTACCAGGCGCTCCACCAAATATGGATTTTGCGGGTAGCGGCGTTTTTTCGTTTTTCTTTATTTCCCGCTACCCAACGCGGCCAAAGGATATCCACCTCGAGAACCTCGAGAACCTTTATTTCAGCCTTCGCGCTGCTCGCTGTTTTCCGCTCATGCCTCGCCCTGCAGGCCTCCGCGTGCGAAAGCGCAGCCCGAGCCCGGACGAGGGCGCCCTCCGCGAGCAGGCCCTCAAATCGCAGCTCTCCGCTCGCAACCCGCGTCGCGAGCGGTCTCGATCACGCTCCAACTCCGAGGAGAGGCTCCTCTCGTCGGAGCCGAGCGTGCGGGCCGCCGCGAGAGCGGAGAAGGCGCGTGAGCGAGAGCGCGACAAGCCGTTTGCGACCGGCACGGTGGTCGAGGGGACGGTGTCGTCCGTGCGCGAGTTCGGCGTCTTCGTGCGGCTGCCTGGCCGGGACCGCGACGGCCTCCTCCATATCTCGCAAGCGTCCGACAAGCGTATCTCCGCCGAGGAGCTGCGCCTCCTCTACCCGGTTGGCAAGGCGCTCTCGGTCAAAGTGCTGTCGGTGGCGCCCGACGGGAAGCTCTCCCTCTCCGCAATCGGCGCGGACAAGCTGCAGGCGGGCGGCAAGCCTCCTCCGCCTCCCGAGGTCTTCTCGATCCACCGCGCTGAGGTGCTCAACGGGACGGACTTTGCCATCTTCGCGCGCCTCGAGAGTGGCTGGGAGGTGATGGTGCACGAGTCGCAGCTCGACGAAGGCAAGCTGCGATCGGTCAAGGCGAAGAGGCCTAGCGACTACTACCACCGCGGCATGCAGGTCTGGCTCAAGGTCTCCGACCTGCAGCATGCCAAGGACGGACAGCAGGTCAAGGCGAAGCTGCAGGGCTCCTTCAAGTATGTCGACCAGCAGAGCGGCGCAGACCTGGACTCTCCGCCGTCGGTGCCTAATTAATTAGAGTACATCACTCCTCGAATTCATTCTTGATAGGCGCAGACCTGGACCCGACCGGCGCGGCGCTGCTGCACGACCTCGCGGCGCGCGGCCTGTCTGCCCACCGCCGCAGCTATGGCGCAGACCCGTCGCCGAGCCCCGACAGGGGAGGGGGGGGCGAGGGAGGAGGGGGGGGCGGCGGCGGCGGAGGCGACGGCGGCGGGGAGGGCTTCGTAGCCGCGGCGGGCTTCGACGGAAGGCGCGACGGGTACGTGTTTAAGCTTGGCAGCGCTGGGCTCGGCTACTATCTCGACGGGGCGGGCAGGCCGCCAGCGGCGGGCGGCAAGCCGGCAAAGCTGGCGGCGATGCTGGCTGCGATGGAGGCGGAGGAGGCGGCGCGCAAGGAGCGCAAGAAGCGGAAGCGGGAGAAGAAGGAGCGCAGGCGGGAGAAGAAGGAGAGGAAGAAGAAGGAGCGCCGCCGCGGCGAGGCGAGCGAGGAGGAGGCGCGCGGGAAGGGCAAGCGGCGCCGCTCCTCCTCCTCCTCCGAGTCGAGCGGCTCCGAGCAGCCGCGGCGGTGAGGGGGCAGGGGCGTCCCCCAAACGCAGGACTCGTCATAGCACGCTCCCTCTCAATAAATAAATGTATACGGACGCCACCCAGCAGCGGGAGGGAGAAGGGAGGAGACGTGGTCAGTACTGTTATGTATACGTACCGGCCCTATATGCACCCGTGTGTCCTGCCTATGCATTGGCAGGGTCAGACGTCGCGCGAATGCATAGTCCATAGCGTGTCTTATGCAATACGTACGATGTTTTCGCCTTTATGTCTCAGCAAACAGTGCAGCGCTGCCGATGTCGCATTGGCGCTATGAGCTATGCATTACGTATCCGTATTATGCATCACTCAGCGGCGCCTGCACGTGGGAGGGCTATGGACTACGCATTACGTATCCGTATTATGTATCACTCAGCGGCGCCTGCATGTGGGAGGGCTATGGACTACGCATTACGTATCCGTATTATGTATCACTCAGCGGCGCCTGCACGTGGGAGGGCTATGGACTACGCATTACGTATCCGTATTATGTATCAAGCGCCGAAAGCCCGCCGGAGAGGGCTATGTACTACGCATTACGTATCCGTATTATGTATCAAGCACCGAAAGCCCGCCGGAGAGGGCTATGTACTACGCATTACGTATCCGTATTATGTATCAAGCGCCGAAAGCCCGCCGGAGAGGGCTATGTACTACGCATTACGTATCCGTATTATGTATCAAGCGCCGAAAGCCCGCCGGAGAGGGCTATGTACTACGCATTACGTATCCGTATTATGTATCAAGCGCCGAAAGCCCGCCGGAGAGGGCTATGTACTACGCATTACGTATCCGTATTATGTATCAAGCGCCGAAAGCCCGCCGGAGAGGGCTATGTACTACGCATTACGTATCCGTATTATGTATCAAGC